GAGACTTCTTGAAACTAGATTAAAAGCAAGAAAGAACTTGACAAGAATGAAGAAGGCTTCATTCTTGCCTCTTTATATATTATCTACTTAGGAGCTAAATGGCAACATTTTATAGGACCTCCAAAATATGTTGACTTTGTATAACACGTATCTTAATTAATAAGGTAAGTTTTTTATAAGGGTGCCACCTAATTAGATTGTTTTGCAAGTTATCAATATGTATAAATTCATTTAACTTCATACATTTTAAATTTTCATGTGATTAATTTGTTGACTAAGTTTCTAACTTACTAATAAACTTCATACATATAAAGTCAAAGCAGCATCTATAAAGCTTCTAAGAAGATTTTTTTGAAGATATTATGAAATTAATCTATTTTTATCTACTTTTATCTATTCATATTATCTATATAATAATTACAGTAATTATATGTCTATGACATATAATTTTTTATACAAAAAATTCATGTTAATATTCATATGGATTAGCTGTTAAGTATTTTGTGTTATAAATATAATAAAGAATCTAATAGTAGTCAATTTTATTATATGTGTATAAGATTCTTTAAAGTTGATTCTTTCTTGTTATTTGAATCCTCAAGCTATTAGCTTGGCTTTATATTTTTATATGTTTCTATTCAATTGTTGTTTTATTTTTTATATCTATTTTGTAGATATTAAGATTTTGTCAAGTAGAAGTTTGTAATGTTCTCTAATATGATTTTTGTTAATCAAGTCCACATCTTCTTATATTGCATCTCTCCAATGTTTGTATTGAGCAACTTCTTTAGAGTTGGAAGGTTCATTTTGCAAATCAATCATGCCAATAAATTAATCAAATAGCTAAGCTGATACCTTTAAAACTTATCTTAATTTGGTGCAAGAATCTTTGCTTGTCATCATTTATTTATTTATTTATTTATATTAAATTGCTGTTTAGTTTACAAAATCTTAGAGCATCAATAAATGCATCTCGTATATTGAACAAGGTCGTCTTATTAAATGCATCCATTATTGACCATTCTTTTATTTTATCACTTTTTTGATAATCAAATATTTACATTGTTTTGGTGGTTGGAAGTAGAAGATTGATACCTCTTTCATCTTTTGTTTTATGTGGTACTAAAAAATATTCTAGCAATTGAATTTCTAAATAACTAATTAAAGATTTTTTTTTGTTGTTATTTTCTTCATTATATTTGTTGTCAACTGGCTTAGTAAATAGTGATGATAAAGATGAATCTTTAAAGATCAAGTTTTGAGTATCATTTCTATAAAAATTAATTTTATCAAATACCATATTTTTAGTTATTTGAATTTTATAAAGTTAAGATTTTGATATGTAATAGTCTTTAGATTCTTTGTCTATGCTATGATATATTCAATTTTCAGATTATGGTTTAAAGATGTTGTTGGCATAGATCTATAGAAGTCAAAACAAATAAGTTTTAGTTGTCTTATAGCTTTAAGAGTAGATTACTTTGGATATTAGCATGCAATTGTTTGACTTTTATACATATTAAGCACATCTTCTTAACATATTTCAATTTAGGTAAGTTTGTTGCTAATAATTGAGAATTGAACTAGATGAGATCTTAATAGTTAAATGTCTCAATTTGCAATATCAAAAATAAGTAGTATTTTGTTTTTATGATTTCTTTATATTTCTTTTATGATTTATTCAAAAATTTAATTGGACTTAATCAATATTTGATACTATTTATTAAGCTTTAATTACAATTTATATATGATTCTATTATAGTTATTAGGACATATTGTAATTTTCTTTTATCTTCTACAGCCAAGTGTCTGGCACATTTCCAAGCAAGATTTCACATAATATAAGAACATGAATTCAAATTGAAAGGATTGAGTGATTTCTCAGTATGTTATTGGTTGTAGATGATGGTATTATTGTGAGTAGATTGACCCTAATTCAATGATATAGTGGACTCGTAAATATCTTAGGTTGATATTTATTGTATATATAGAGGTTGGCATGGAACAATCCTTAAACATATGGCTCCATTATTTGCACCAATGACAAATGATCATGTATAAGAATTGATTGTTAAATATGCCTTGTTAGTCTCTAGTTCTTATACCACTTCCATAATATTGTATGTTGTTTGTTGGATATGAATGACTATTTGATTTATTATAATTTTTTCAAAATTAGTTCTTGTTGATAGCAAATCTCAAGAGCATGATAAGTGCTTTTTCTCTTGTCAAATTAAACTAATTACGTAATTTTAAATTAGTCTCTTCTATCATTATTTAATTACTAATTTTATCTACTCTTTATATTTTTTATTTAATAATATTTATGTAAAGTTTGCAAATCTAACAAATAGTCAAGTAAATAATAACAATGTTATTTTGTGGTTGTTCTATCTTTCTTATCTCTCTCATGATCAAATATATTGATCACATAAAGTTGGCTACTTCTTAACTTTCATGCATATATAGAGATTCTTATTTGTTCAAAACATTCATTATATTAGTGATGATACTAGTTTGAAAAACTTTTTGTAAATATTGCTTTGTCTCTTTAGGGTCTTTTAGGTTTTTGATGTGGAGGTAGATGGAGTCATTAATAGCAAGACTAAGGTAAGCTATTCCTTTCTTGTTTTTTATTCTTTAAGTATCAAGTTCACTAGTTGTTAGTTCATTGACATCTTCAATTGATTTTTTCTTATTATTTGGTGATGATTGTTGTACTTTTTGTATTATTCATCATGTATAGATAATACGCCATAGATTTTCTTACTAGAATATACTTTGCATTATTGAAGCCTATTGTTTGTAGTTATGTCTATTAAGTAAGCTCTTTTCATTAATTATATTATTGAGTTATTTTGTGATCTTACTATTGATTTAAAAAAAATTATCTAATCTATCTTGTATAAGGAACAGATATTGAATAAATACTAGTATAGCCAATGAATTAGAGATGTGACTAGATTGGTCAAAAGATAAATAGAAAGAAAGAAAGAGCAAGTTTAAGTTGGAGTATTAAATTAGGGATTGAATGAAGGAGATTATATGGACGAAGATGTACTCTTTAGTTTGCTTAAAAAATAAGAGATAGACCTTCAAAAAAAAGAATACTAATGCTTCATAGAATAGATAAGAATATCAAGAAAAGGAACTATATAACCTACACTTTGATATCATGAGAGAATCCATATACAAAAACTCATAAATTCAATGTTAAAATATACAACTTATTCATGTACTACTTTATTTATTAGAGTGAAGAATTACATTTTTATACTTAGATGATTCTTGAAAGGATATAGATTTAAAACATATGCTAACACTAAATGAATGATAAGTGTGATTTAACCTAAAATTGTTGTTACAATATTTTTTTTTAATAGGAGCATTTCTCAGTCTTAAAAAGTAAGCAATTTTTTCAATTGGATTGAAGAAATCCATAAACGTTACAATGCCAAAGTGTCATACAACCATCTAAAGTTGATTAGCACTAGAAGTTGAGATCCTTTGTAATTGCAACAGTGATGACAATATTTGTTGCAACACCAATGAGCATAGTTATAAAAAATTGTTATGTCCTTCATTCTATGTGATAGTTTCTTTTTATTTAGATAAAAAATATTTAATTTTTGTCTTTATTTTTTTATATATAGTTTCATGTCTCACCTCTTTATTCTTCAAACCATATTCAAAAAATTTGCATCTATGAATGCAAATTTGAAATTCAACTTCATCTAATGCTACTATTTTTAACTATTTTATTAAATATTTTTATTTAACTTGATATGCTATTTTTAATATAAAAATATGCTAAATAGAAAAAATAATTTTTAAAAAAACCTACTTATTTATTAAGTAAAATAATTATTCATTCCAATACTTCAATTATTGATTTTATATATAAGAATCTATTTAAAACTATTCTAATCCATCTAAACTTTACTCCAATACTTCAATTATTGATTTTATACATAAGAATCTTTTTAAAACTATTCTAAACCATCTAAACTTTACAAATATGATAATGTGCTATTCTCATTACAATATAATACACCATTAAAATTACTTGTGTATCAAGCATATCATTTCCTTCATAGAAATTTTAAAAAAAGTGATAAGTAAATAAAAAAATTAAAATATGTACACAACACAAATTAAATTTTGGCTTCTTCATATGTCTCTAAAGTTTTCAATACTTAAAAAATTAAATATATAGATATAGGTTTAATTGAATATAAATTCTATATATATTATCTTTTTAGTTCTTAATAAGCTACATGGTGGATTTTTACAAGCTGGTCTGTATTTCATCATATCAAAATTTGAATCAGCTCTCACTTTGAAGTGCTTAAGAATGCAAAATCAAGGAGATTAAATTAATTTAACAAACAATTAAAATTGAGAAAAATGATTAGTAAAATGATTAATCAGTATCTACTTTGTTGTAATGCTTTCCATGGAAATTGAACGGAGTTAATGCGTGAGCCTTTGTCCAAGATAGAGCTGCCACCTCACCCGTGGTCATAGACCAACGTGGACGCAGGGAGCAGCCCCATATAGCCAACTCAACGCGGATCCTATAACCAAGTTGCCTAAGACCGATACGAAGCTACTGCGAAATGGAGCGGAGCCGTTCCATCTCGACACGACCAGACCCGCGGCAACGGCAACGGGGACGGGATGGATGGGCGAGGGTGTGCCTGGCCATACGACTCTCACTTAATCCATCGCCGACCGACACTGGATGCCGAGATCGCACAACTGGAACAAACGAACAATCCTCACATCCTTGTCGGTGCTGCGTTTTCCACCCCAAACATCACCGCTTCAAGTCGCGATCTCGAACTGCAGTGCGTCGGTGGCTTGTGCGGGATGTCCAACAGTCGGCCAAACAGCCAGTTGCTGATGAAGGTGCTGGAGATTGCAGTCAACGTGGTGCTACCCCTCGCATCAACGGAATCAGCAACAATTCTTCCCCCGTGATGGGCTTCTGTTTAGGGTATCGGCGTCGAGGTGTTGTGGGTTGGAGTTTTGGGTTGTGATATTTGTTGTGATATTCCGAGTGGTGGCTTTGTCGGTACTGGAGTGTAGGCGATGCTGCTGGCGTGACGTATTGATGGACAGCTATGGATGGGACTCAGGTGTGTTGCCAATTCGTTGGCAATCCGTGTACTGCAATCACATGGATTTGAGTTCTGTGATGGATGGGGAGTCAGGAGCATACCCTTTTTCTTTTCTTTTTTTTTGTCTTTTGTTGTGTTTTTGTTTTGTGTTGGTGGGTTTTGATTTGGGTGGGGAGATCAAACGTGTAGTGTGTTTCATGGAATGAAGGGCGAGTGGGTGGTTGGAGAGTCGGGATAGGTGTGGTTGTGAAGGGTGAAGGAATTTGGTGAGTTTGCTTGTATTGGATGAGTGTCTGAGGCTCTGGTTAGGGTCGATGAGTACTACGCGTGCTGAGGCGGATGTTCTGCACTCCTATTCAGTGCTGCATGTCTGCTGTATTGATTCAGCTACATGGGTATGCGAGTATTATTATGAAAAGCGGTGGGAGTAATGTCGAAGCTGGATTGTCAATAGCAAGGTGGCTCCAGCGTCTGTTTGCGAATTGTAGATATAGTGTGATCGTGGATGTTTGTAGAGTAAGTTAACGGACTTCAATTGTAGAAAGTAATCTCTGATATTGAGAAATGTAGTGTTTGCTCTCTTAACGAATCTAGGTCAGAATCTTCGTCCTAAAGGGACAGTAGCGAAGTTGATTGGTCGAGTTCTGTCGCTGGAAGATCGTTTGCAAGCACTGTAGCTAACTGCTAGTTAAGAGAGTCAGCTGTCAAGACTGTAATGAAGACTGTCTCGTCCGTAGTGGATTATTTACATTTTCTCTTTTTTGTGGACAGTGTATTTGCTTAGCACAACAATGATGTAAGGACACTAACTAGTTTTTAGCCAGTCTGACTAGGGGTGTGGATGTATGGTTGGGCAGCAGAACAAGATTCACCCCTTTTGTGACTTCAATCCACAACTGCTACACCAGAGCGGCAAAGCCCACATTAATGCAAACCAAGTAGTTTCCGTGGCAAGTACATCCTCGGGATATTTGGAAATACCAGACGTTGCAGGATGCGCGCCGGCGACTGTGCCACCCAGAGTGCTCGTTATAAATCACCGTCCAACCATCCTATATCGAAAAATTCGTCCATCAGATTTAGTGGTGTTAAAGGAGATTCATGAAGCTTTGTTTCCTATTAAGTAAGACGCTCTGGATGAATCTTAATGTTTTAGAGCTTTTGATTGAATACGACATATTTTTGAGAATGGTTTTGCGGAAGAGATATCGGTCAGCTATTTGTACACAAGCCAGTAAGTTAGCCTCGACATCACTTGCAGATGGACATTGAGGACGATCTTGATGAAGATTCGCTTGTGCAGATATGAAGCTGATTTTTACATGAATGCTGTACATGGACGAGGAATTATATCTTGGGCAGCTGTGGACACAAGCAGGTCAGACCCATATTGTGACGAACTTATTGGGTTTGTCACATCGCGTGTTATCTCTCCTTCAGTGGGTGAGGTGAGTCCTCCATTTGGTGACCAGCAGCTTTTCAAAATAATAGAAATCCTCGACAACTTCTCTTAGCTGATCAGAATGTTTGTTAAATTGGAGAGTTCGTTTGTGCTGATTTGAGCCTTTTCCCCTATTTGTAATGAGACTTGAGTTCTCATTATGAATTTTAATCGTGAGCTTGTTTCACTTAGCCTGTATTCTGCAGGAGCTGGATATGCTAGGCTATGAAATATCCAAATCCGAGAGGTCGCTCATTTACATCTTAACCTTGGGTGTCATCCCGCCATACAGAAACTCTGGAATTGGTATTATTAATCTGGCCCCTTTCATCAAAGTTGCAGTTGTACAATTTTATTCATGGTAGTACGGTTTAGAAGTTTGCCATGACCAAGGTTAACTCTTGTTATGTTTTCAAGTGATCTTCTCTTCAAGTATTCACTGGATCTTATCTAATACTGCGATGTAAATACCCGCTCCCATGGTTATGATAAGCATTCTACGCGTTAAACCTCGTGAAGCATGTGTTGTCAAAGGCTGGGATGATAATGTAAGACATCGTAACGTGGCTTGTATTGCAGCTTCGGCATTGCTTAGGGAGGTGATAGAATACGCCAACCAAATGGCATGCAGATCTCTCTATCTGCACGTGATAGCGTATAATCGTCCCGCCATTACGTTCTACCAGAAGAACATGTTTCAGTGTTTGCGTAGGCTCCATAATTTTTATTTTATTGAAGGACAACATCATGACGCTTATCTCTACGTCTTCTATGTGAATGGAAGCCGCTCCCCGTGCACAACCATGTACCTGTCGCCAAATTCCTTACTATTTGCTGGAAAGCTCTTGATTCAAGGAGATTTTATAAAAAGTTAACGTGTTAATACGTGGTTCTTATTAAGGTTGATGCCAGTCTGCTGTGAGGTCAAGAATTCTGATTAAAAAGTTCGGTTTCGCAGAGATGGTTTAAAAGCAGTCTATGCTTATTTAAGGGGAGGCTTCACGTCACTGATGGCCAAGCTATTTTGAGGATCATGGACGACATCCAGAGGAGGTTTTCATTCATTTGAGCGAAATTTGAATACAATATATTGTTGTGTATATTAGTTATCTGAGAGGATGATTGGTAGGGTCATTTACATCAGCTACTGGTATGAACAGGACCTGTAGAGCTAGGACCTACATGTATTTAGTTATCTTTTTTTCTTTCGTGAGACACGAGTTAAGTACAAGAAGAGAGTGTTTCTAGAGCTGCTGGCTTGAATATTATCTTTTTAGTTCAACTCTTTTGTTTCTGGGGACTTTGAGTACTAGCAGAGATTGGGTGGTTCCAATTTTAAGAAGTTTTTCACGTGATTACTCCCTTTCCGATGGTGTTAATGGCATGAAGTTGGGTTGGAATGAACTTCATCACAAACCTACAATACATTGTCAAATTTATTTGATAACAAGATCCATCACTCATTTTTATCATTCCTCACAACCTACACGACTCTTGTTGTGGATATACAAACTTTGAACAGTGTACAGAAAAGATAGTGGTATTTGAATGCAAGGTGAATCGAATCTTAATAGAGTAACTATGTTTGCTCTCACGGCTGAAGGTAGAAGGTGCTGTGAGTAGCACTCATTCACTCCCAACACATTTGGAACCACAAACAACACCAATCCTTTTATCAATAAAATGAAGTATTTTCCACATATTGGGTACATGATCTTCAACGAGTCAGATATACTGCTTTATACAATTGATGGATTGCGTCTCCAACCTAAGTTTGAACATGTCCGAAAGAAATACGCATGCTATAAAAAAAAATCATGATTGCACCTGATTTGCCTCCCAACATTTATTAACGAGACAAAATTAACCCATCGCTGTATAATGAACCACAGATTGGTGCATTTCTGTACCTGCTGATTGTAGCACCCTTTGACTTAGTGTGCTACTACTGTTTGTACAAGTCTCCTATCTGCTTCTTTTTTCGTTCTTGAATTTGATTTCAAGGAAATTCTCAAATTTTAAGCTTCCAAATGTACACGAAGAGGTCTGTAAGGTCAGAAAGAGAGCGGCTACAGGACAAAAAAAGATCATACCCTGTCATCACTTTGGCAGATTATGGGACAAGAGAGGACACAATCTTCTGAGCTCCTTCCCCATAGTTGGCACAGACTTACTGACATATCATAGAGAAGGTTTGTTCCTCTTGGAGCTTCTAGTTGTGACCGAGGGTGTGCTGTCGCAGCTTGTGTTTGTGAGCTCGGCGATAGGTTGGAATGCAGAACGCTTCGATCCCATAACTGGCCAGCTCTTCTTCACTAATGTTGCGAAAGAACTTGGGGCGATAAATTCCTCGTTCGTTTCTCTCTGGAAATTAATGAGTTCCAACTGCTGCTTTAAGGGAAAAGTTGAAAAAAGAGTTTTTGTAGTTGAACGAACACCCTCCTTTTTCATGTGCGTCCGGAGAAGCAAGTTCCAGTTCTTCAAAAGAGCCACTCGATCTTGTATTTTCAATAACAAACGTCCAGCAACCAGCTGTGAGTACATCAAGTCTACAAGCCTCGACATTCCAAATGCTGCGCTCTTGAAGGCCTTACTCTGAAAAGTAGTTTGGGTTCCTAAAATTTTGGAAAAAATGTCCAAATGCGCAATGCATTGAACCAGCTCTTCGGCCACTTCCGCTTTCAATAGAGTCTCGAGTACCCAACTGAGTGCCAAGAGCTTATCTGTTATGTTAGGAACATCATGAAAATCCTTCTCAAAACACTCCTTTCCAACATTGACAAACATGTCTTTTGCCTCCCTGCTAACAATCATGACCACAGTCTTCCCGAAATCGGAAGATATGCTGGATCCAATGCCCATCAGCAACTCTTGTAGAAAAGCGCGAGCGGGAGAACTGGCAGAAACAGCAGTACCGTCGAGACACAATGCAGCACGAGTACACTGATGTATTTTGTCGCACAATTGCTTGTGACAATCCTCTTCGCTCACGTCCAACCCCAACCGGGCAACCAAATCTTCTGCGTGATTTCTAGGAAAATCTGGGGAAGACGAGTACTCTCTAATCCTAATTTCATCCGCCTCAGACCACTTAATCGTTGAAACATACTGCGACACAGAGACCATCAGGTCGTGGAACTCAATCTGCGAAGCGACTTTGAGAAGTGCAAGACTATATTTGACATCCTTTTTGAAGCCCTTACGGAGTGGTGAGTACATCCGCGAGAAGCAATCTTTATAGCACTCAGTATCCGCCTGGACCTCCAGAACGAATTCCAGAGATGGCGTGCTCAGCTTTTTCCATCTCTCGCTCATGAGAGTCTCGAAGTACTTGCTGCACTTGTTCAAGTGACTAGAATGCATTTTCAGTTCTGCTACCGTAACAAGGTGATGCTCATCTTTTCCGCAACCTGAACCAGGGTGTACCAAGCGAACAGAAACATCTTGACCTTTGTCACGGCCACCGTACCACACGACCTGTGCCCCTTCCATCCTCCAAAGGATCTGTCTCCAACCTTGAAATCAATCACCAGACCCCATTAGTGTTGGATGTGAGCTTATTCAGTGATCATCAAGCAATGTGTAACGAAAAAAAATGTAACAACTAGGAAAGAAACCACAGGGCTTACCGATTACTAAATTCTGCTACGAATAGCTCACGAGCTCCTCAAAAGATACAATCTTGCTGCAAGACCCGCAAGCGTTGAAGTAGTGCAACCCTAATTCACAGACCCTAAATCGAAATATTCCCAAGCATTTACACGTACACCTGTCCTAACAATTTGCCATGCACTAATTTCTCACAGCTCCAACAATACAAATGAATCACAAATCAAAACAACATTCATCATTCGGAAGCCCCCTCCAGAAAGATCGATTGCCAATTGAAACAAAAGTGATAGTCTGACAAACTATGAATTGTTAACAATTGAACTGAACTACACTGAACTCATTTTGTCTGCACAGGTCCGCACAGGTCTGCACCGGATTATTCAAGGATTAAATCTCATCATCCAACCATTCATCTATTGTTAAAGGGGTTCCAGAACTGACCTTGAACTCTTCCAGCACATCGAAGACGCTTCACCATGTTCCATCACCCATGCAATTCAAATGGCAGCAGGCTACGCGCACCATCCAGCCGCTGCAGACCACCCGGCAGCTTGAGAAACCCTACAAATAACTTCCACACAAAAGTCAGACACCACCAGAGGCCTAAACCACTTCTCTCTCCGAGATTCTGGTGAGAGACACTAGACTAGACTAGAGCAACTTTACACATCATACATCACACATCCCAAGCAACAACAACACCACCGCCAGAAGCATAAAACACCTACCCCGATATCACACGAAAACACTCCAACGGATGACAACGGATGACAGATAATTCACACAAACCAAAAGCAAACCATCGTGAATGTCCTTAGCCCTCATGTACTGGGGATTTCGGTGAGAAGGAAACTAGAGGACAAACTCTCCACATCATGCAGACAAGTCAATCCTTCAGAAGCAAGGGCCTTTGCAAGAGACATGATTTCTCAGAAATATTGGTGCAAAAAACGCAACAGCAGATTACAGGCACATCCGACAAATGGGTTTGTCCCATCGCGGCAGGTCCACAATCTCGTCCACTCCCGAGTTTTCTCCACAATTCGGCGGAAAAGCATTGATTTATACAATCTAGAGAAACCTATTTCTGATAATTTGCTGGGGAGTTTACCGCGTACCCACCATCAGTTCACAGCGGAGAGGGACTCAGAGCACGCGACCAAAATTGCATGCAAGACCAGGAGATATCCAATATGTAGACCGCAAGCCATTTAACTCCTATGTCGGACAATTCTGTTCACTTTGGTGGTAAACTCACTCGGTGGGGACGACCATTTCCGTCGGCAGACCTCACTGCCACGGAAAAATGCCTGCAGCTCGCCCACCGTCCGGTTCCATCCCGCGGAATGGCCCCCCGAGCCGGGCATTACGTCTACCGTAATGCCCCCACCGTCCGCTCAGTACATCCCGGTCCTCCATTGTGGCTTCGTTCTGTTCGTATGAGGAATGAAAATCGGTGCTTTAGTGGACGCTATTCGTTGACCTGCAGACACGTAAATTGCATCGAAACCTCGGATGAATCGCTTTATCTGTTTGTGTCTGCTGGAAAAGTCAACGAGTGGGACATTATACTTAAGAATGGTTTGGTGATGTGACCTCTTTGTGGTGTAGTTTAATCACACTCTATTAAAATTCTGTACATGGTTTGTTTCATCAAAGTGGTTTCTGATATGAGGTTCTGACTTGATGTTTTAGGATGACTTTTTATTTTCTTCCAAAATTAAATTGTTGCAGTTGACATGGTTTAAGGAACTTTTTGCTTAATTTCTTTCAACAGTCATTACAACTGAGATCCTGAAAGTGAAATATTTGAATCTAGAAAAATGTCTGTAAGAAATGTGTATTATATTTTTCATTTTTTAATATTATTTTAAGTCATTCCTTTTATGTAAGAATATTATTTTAAAACTCAACATGTTTTAAAATAAAATATTGTTTTAAAATACAACAAGAAAAAGAATCTAAACCAACTTCTACAGGAACAATACACATATATTATTTGGAAATTAAATATATATATATATATATATATATATAATATAATATAATTGTTATTATGGCTATTGCCAAATATATTGAAACTAGAGAGTCTTGAACCAAGATTAATGTGTGCAAAAAAACCTTGAGAAGACTAGAAATGGTTTTCGTTTTTCCTCTATACATATTAGTTACCAAAAAGGTCTTGTGAGAGCTTTCTAAGGACCACAAAGCTTGTGATTGAAGCATCTAAGAAGTAAATAACTACCATAGTGACTCCTTAAGGGTACAAAATTTGTAGAAGTTTTGATAACTACAACATATATCTAAAAGAATTTGTATATCTAATATATATATATATATATATATATATATATATAATATTTCACAAGGAATATATTATTCATCTAATATATTCCTACATACTTTTATTTATTCAAGTAATAGAAACATTAGTTTTAGATAGTGTATAAACTTAATCACCATTAATTCTTTTATATCAATAAATTAATAGAGGTAAACAAATGCAAATGAAAGTTATGTAAGTCTTGATAAATAGTTAGTAGTTTTAGCAAAATATTTTTCAACAAAAATATCTTATATTTTAATTATGAATAAATTTCTTTATATAAAGAAGATCTAAAATATAAATATTACAAAGCTTTGCACAAATAATTTCAGGAAAGATTTTTGACAAGATTAAATTCCAATTCTTTCTATTGGAGCTTAAAAAATATTAATTGGATTTTTAAAGATAAAATTTTAAAAAAATAATAAATAAAACTATAAGATAAATATTTGTGGATTGATTGAAGTGGATGATAAAGTCACAAAAAATAATTAATAGAGGGGTAGTAATACCATCATATATCATTAAGCTACAAAATAAAGTAGCATCAATTAAAAAATTTAAATGCAAATCAAATGATGTGATCATATAAAAAGTAATTAAGATGTTATAATAACTATTAAAGACTAAATTTATTTTAGATAAAAAAAATGATGTAGAATTATTATTAAATGAGAACAACTTTTGCATATGCATATATATATATATATATATATATATCTACTATTTGCTTATGATTTGTACTAATTAGTGGCATACAATAGAATAATAAAAGTAATATACTAGCCCACCAAAGACGTAAATACTTCCTTTGATACAATACTTTTGTGCAACATCTTTGAATTTACAAGTATTTTAAACTTAATGAATCAATTCTCTCTCTTATATTTATTTGAGTACAAAACATTATATAGTTCTTCCTTGGTAAAATGATTACATGTCTTTATACAATCTTATTATTGTATTGACATCTTTCAATATTATAGCTTTTGCTAAAACTTATTGACGTCATCCATAGCACTAATATTTTATTCTTTTTGCAAGCTTGCATTTTATTCTCATGTGTGTTCATATATTATTCTTTCTTATTTTTGAGGGTATCTATATGTCGAGGAATAGAATTTTTTAAATTCATTGGAATGTTTTACTAAGCATTAAGGATATATATATATATATATATATATATATATTTGTATAATGTAGTAATGGCTTTAGGAAAAATGTAGTATATGCAATAATTTTTGTTTTTGATTTTTTTTGCATATTTATATACATCAAAGACCTTTTTTTCCAACAAGCAGTTGAATATTAGGCATTCTGCATTTACATCTGAATCTTCATACAAATAGGTGCAATACAATTTTTTTTGAAAGTATGTTAATAAGATATAGTTCACAACTTTTAATTTGCGGCTTCACTTTTCTTGTTATCATTATCTTCCTAAAATTCTTTGCCCAATATCTATAGCTCATTTTTGTAATAGTTGATCTTGCATATTCTAAAACCAAAGAATAAAACTATAGAAACAATGTCTATTTCCACATTGATTGTATTAATCTAAGTTTTCAATATTAAATTTTTTGGCTAAGAAGATGTGACCATTGACTTTGATTTGTATCTTGGAATTCTAAGGTTTCCTATATTAGTGCTTCAATTTTTCTCTAGTGCATTTACAACTTCAATTCTTCATCACATATTATCTAGTTTCAATTCTTTATCTTTGTTTGGTAATTCCAACTTATTCATTGTGTTTATATTATATTATTGTATGAATTCTTCTTTTCTTCTTGCTAAATATTAAGACTTTATTTTACTAGTTAAGTTGCATTGAAGGCAATGATGTATACTACCTCTTGAATCCATCCAAGATAATTGGCTTCAAAATTTTGTTGGAACATTTGTGTAACAAGGTATTTTTATTTTATTCATTGAATATTTTATTTGAATTCTTTAGAAATCACATCTTCTTATTCTTCAACTTAACATATCTTTCATCACAATTGAATGTTTGTAGCAAGAAGTTTATTGTGGTATTATATAGTTATTTTTTTGGTAGTTCCTAATGTTGCAACCTATTGATATAAGATGTAGAGGGTGGCTTTATAGGTGACAATCGTGGCTTAGATCATTTTAAGCATGTTTCTACTATTGATTAAAGATTTCTAAAAGTCATGGTATATTTGTATTGATTTATGGTACATTATTGATCCTTGATCCAAATACACAATATGAAAAAATTTGAAGCACAATCGATTATATTTTATAAGCATTATATTATGGCTTCATTTGCTACTATTGGTTGTATTGTATAATCTTTGTTGTATTCAACAAAAGATATTAAATTGGTCATTGTTCACAATAATTTTGTTAGATATTTGTTTATCTATTTTTAAAAATAATAAGCTATTTTGGATGATTATTACAACAATGGCTTAGTGTAGACCACCAATACCTAGACCATCATTGGTTTCTTTATTTTGGATTGATTCAATGTCTCTACCTCTTACTTTTATAAGTTTGGTGTAATTCTTTGTGTTGATCTGATGTCTCTATATCTTGTATTAATTGTAGGTCTAGCATAATACTTTATATGTCTCAACTATGGACCTTAGTCAAGGTGATGCATTATGTTTATAATAGTTTTAACTTTAGAATTATCCTTAAAAATAATTTTAATTCTTAAACCATTCAATATAATTTAAAAGATAAAATAATAAATTTAATATAATTTATAAGGTATAATTAAAAAAAATTGGTAAAAATTGAAGTTGGTTTTTGTTGCATTATTGTATGTAAATCAATAGGCCTATATAATTACTTGTAAATATATATTCCAATCTACTTGATTTTTCATGATGAAGTGTTTCAATATTGTCAATCATCAAGATATATCAATAAACTTGTTGCATTATTGTATGTAAATCAATAGGCCTATATAATATTTGTTTGAAGAGAAAGGTTGTTATGATAATACTCGAATTGGTATATTAAGCCTTAGCTTTTACCTATTTGGTCATATAATTTATGGTTGCTAAGATATCTTTATACCTTTGGCATATTGTTAGTTTGATACTAGTAATAAAATCTAAGTTTCAATATATAAATGATCCAAGCAATGAAAAAGAATCCAATAGAATCTTTTTTTGATACACAAAATTTGTAGTGGATATTTTATATGGATAGTAATACTTGATATAATAGTATATGTTGTTGTATAGAATTGGCCACCAATATCCTATTAAAAAGATATTTTGGATAGTTGTTTTTAGTACCTAGTGCCTTTTTGGTATATCCTTATATAGTTCTTTTATAATACCTTGGTTTTGTTTCTAATGAATACAAAGTTGTGCCATGGTATCTATATCATATTTGAGATAGTGTTGGTATATGTAAACATATGATAAGGCTTAGTAAATGAAGTTAATGTGGCATGTACCAATGAAAACTTCTTTTGTTTATTCAATTGTAAGATACTTTATGCATGGAAAACAATAATTATTATTTATTATTATGATTTAAGTAATGGTTGTCTGAATATATAAATTATTAAAGATATTTTAAATCTTGACTAATTTAATGGTTGTTGTATCTTGGAATAAATAATCAGCAACTATGTGGTTTTTCCTTACAACATGGACTACTTCAAAGTCATATTTTAAAAGGATCATGATCTAGTGTGCAATACAACTAGTAATTAATGATTGATTTACTAAATACAATAAATTGTAGTGATTCATGACAAATTACAATTTTTTATCAAATAAATAATAGAAAAAGTT